CAAGATGGTCCCGAATTATGTAAACACCTCACACAATGCATGCTAGATGGCCTGGATACCGAAACTAGTGAAGTGGATTACACTATAGGCATGCAAAGCAATGCACAAATGACCAAACCACCCCCAAACAGTCCCTATGCAAGTCCAAGACAGTGGGAAAATGGCCTAAAATGATGGCTCAAAATGCATGGAAATGAAGCTCATTCAATGGTCCAAAAATGAAGCATATAAGCACAACTCTAAAACGCATTTAAAGAGTGAAAAACATGGGAATATGGCATACATATAAGCTTTGAATTATGATGCACAATGGCCCCAAAATATGTCAAGGGCCCAAACAACGCATGCTAGTGGACCCGATATGCAAAGCTCGTAAGCTTGATTGAACTATGACCATATAGAACAATGCATGCATGACCCAAAACACTTCAAACAGAGCTGAGGCAGCCTAAAATATGAATAAAATTAGTTCGGATCATGGCCAAAATATGCTAGGAAAGGGGGCCAAAACATCATGCAATACAAGCTAGTGAACCATGATTTACACTACGACCATATGAAGCACATGAGAGGCCACTAAATTAGTCAAAAATAGAATCATGGAATGCCAAATGAAGCCCAAAAACCTACTGAAACCTGACCAAAACATGCAAGAATGAAGTGCTACTTTGATAGGCCATGCAAGGGGTTGCTGTACACATTCAAGAAGGACATCCAATATGGAAAAGTGGACTCTGGACAGAGCCTATGCAGGTCCTAAAACTCACCAAAAATGGCCTGAAACATGGCTTGGAAGCATGCAAATAAGGGCTCCTTTGTAAGGCCAAAAACGCTAGAAAACAAAACAAGGAGAGAGAGGGTCACCCCTATCTGATTTTGGCACTCAAAATAGCATGCTAGTCACTAAAAATCTACTGGATTTCAGTGGCTAAAAGGCCAAACAAAGGCCAACACAAAGGCTCAAGTGCATGGCTCAAAACAAGGTGAAAACAAGCATGCAAGGGGGTAGATGACCCCCAACAGAAAAATGATCTTAAACAAACATGTTAAGGACCTCAAAATAAGAATTTTTTCAGTTTATACCAAAGCCCAAATATGCTTGAAAGTATAGCTAAAAGATGAAGCAAAAATAAAGACCAAAAGAGGGAATAGAGTGTTACCCTTGAAGCTCAAGCACTCCATCAGCTTCTGGACCAAAACAGCAACTCCTTAGCCTCTGAAAACAAGCTCCAAGGTGCTTAGGTTGATAGTGGAGGTGTTGTGCTAGGAGATGGTATGCAAAGGGGTCAAGAACTTCAACCTTTCAAGGCCTAAAGGGAGAGATATAGGGGGATATGTATGAATGAGCCTCAGCCAACTTCTTGAACCCTTGAAAAGGAAGAGGAGCCCTTCCTTTATAGAGCCAAGGGTCCAAAGCTTCTCCTAGAAGCTTAGAACCAAGAGTGAAGATCCTCCATACACGTGTATGGAGGATCTAGTTTGCGCCCTTCAACTGGCACAGTTAGAACCAACTAATTGAGACAAGACTGTAGAGAGCTGGCCGACCAGTTCAGGTGGTCGGCCGACCACTTCCCCTGGTCGGCCGACCAGTTCAAAAGGGTCAAGTTAATGAAAGGTGGTCGGCAGTCCTGATTGGTGGTCTCCCAACTGAGTGCAAGGCAGTAGTACTATGGGAGACCAGTAAATGTGGCCCAAAGATGAGGGAGACCAGTTATCTGATAAGAAAATCGGTCGGCGGGGGAAAAGTGGTCTCCTAGGAGAAAAGGTGGTCTCCCACCCTTGTACCACCTTCCAAACAATGAAAACAAGGTCCATGCCAAAAATGAACCAAGACGGATGCAAAACGAGGGTTCAGGGCCCAAAACGCGCAGCCGGGTGCCCCGAAAACTGACTGTTAAGCATCGAAAGTGGCGTGCGACCACGAAGGTGGTCTCCTGGGCCACAGTGTCCCTCTAGAGAGAGGAAACAAGGTGTGTGCCAAAAATCGGAGCAAACGGAGAAAGTTAAGCGGTCCCAAACCAAGGTGCACGGCCGACGGCTCCGAAAACCGGAAACTGGTCTCCAAACGGGAATAGTGGTCTACGACCACAAAAGGTAGCCCACGACCACTGAGAGATGGTCTATGAGACCTCTCCATTCCTTCGAGAAGAGAAAACAGAACCTGGTTCGCAAACCGAGGCAAAGCACAAAAGGGTCCCAAGGTTCGGGGGTAAGGCTCTCAGCCAAAACTCCGAAACCTCAGAACGAGCACAACAAGCACCATCACTGAGCGCTCAATCGATGACATCTGAGTCTTAAGGTCAGCCAAAAATGGGGTGCCTACAGTTGCCCCTCTTTGACAGAACTCGGAAGTCATAAGTGACGGGAGCGAATGTCAAAGCCTATAGACGACCCATTTTTGACAAGGCCAAAGACTTAGACTAACAGGCGAGATAAACAAGAGATGGGCTCTCAGGAAGGGGCAAAATGCAAAACGACATGCACAAAGCCGAACGTAACTCAAGATCACGCAAAGCAGCAAGCTGTAATGAAGCAAATATTCACAATAAACGCAACAGTTTTAAGCAAGAATGCAAAGCAAAATTACATTTAATGCAGTAAGGATGTAAGAGAATTACAATTCTCGCTACGTCTCACACGGAGAAGATACAATACCTGTCCGGTTCATCTGGTCGCACTAGTTTCAAATGAACCGTATATACAATATCGTGCCTGCAAAAGAGAGAAACCTAAAAGTCACAACATAGTTAGCAACATATGTTCAACACTATATCGAATGCGGATAGACATGGTGCCGATAGAAAAGTGCATCGCAATGCAAAAGAAACGCGCGTGACAACGCAAGTTAAGTATGGATGTATGACAATGCCAATGAAACGTGTCACTCAATGCAATTGGTGTGCATAACAATGCAAGATAAGTGCAACTTCAAAAGCATGCTCGAAACAAAACACCGAGTAAGGCCGTGCAAGCCTCGAAGAGAGCAATTCAAACGCGACCTCTGATTTACCTCTCGGAGGGGTCGCAACGTACTCAAAAAGGATACACCTTGATCTTGGCGAGTAACGACGAGCCACATGTCGAAGATTGGATTTGAAGTTCCCGCGGAGGCATTTCGCGCCGAAAAGTGCACTATCCTTGTACTTTCCCGAGAGCCGGGGACTCCAATCACCACCAAAATTTGCAGGGAAAACAAAGAGACCTTGGAGACCACCCAGGAGTGCCACCGACCACCAACAAGGGCCACCGACCAGTAGTTGCCCAGGGGGTGGTCGGCCTGCCAGAAAACCTGGTCGGCCGACCATTTTACCAAAACAGGGGCAGTTTTGTCCATTTATGCTCGGCTCTTTAAATCCTTTTGTCCAACTCACTATTGCTCACAACCCCATGGCCAAAATTAGCCTCTCTTGCTTCCTAGACCATTTTCCCCCTCAAATCTGCACTTTATACGCGTTTTCCAACGCCCCACGCAAAGTTGTTTCGCGAAAACTTTCAGTTTTCTTCACTTTGAACCGATTAGAATTTGATTTCGGAGCTTCTTTCTCCATTTCTGCCACTTGAGGTATGTTTGTCTCGAAATTTGGGACATTTTCTTGGGAGTTGACTTTTGTTGACTTTTTTATTTCCCGAGAGTTGACTTTTGTTGACTTTTTTCATTTTGGCTCATTTCGCTCATTTTTGCAGATTTCTTCAGATGGTAGATCATTTTCATCATGGTGGAGTTCCTCAGAGGTTCTCCGGGTGCCGAGGGTAAGCCGGCCATCATGTCCTTGCCCCCGGGAGTTCGGCCTTTTGATCCCGAGAGGTATCGTCCCCAGGAGCACGTCCTACCTCCGACCACTTTTTATCATTTTACCGACTTTGATCGACGAGCTCCCGCGGATCTGTTGCTACGGGAGCCGGAGTCTCACCTCTCTCACCAGGCACGAGAGATACGTATTTCATTTTTACATTCTCTGCAATGTATTCTGCCTTTTCTGCACATTTCATGCTTTCGCTATGTATTTCATCTGCTTGTTCTAAACACATTCGTATGCTCCGTCCGATCTATTCGGCACACGGCTCATATATGACCATACTTTGCTCATTTTAGCACACAGCTCACAGCACGGTATTCTGTTTAGTTGGCACGCAGCTTACAACACTGCATATTCTGCATTTTAAACATACAGCTCCAACTTTTGATTGTGAACACACAGCACACACTTGTTAAAAGTTGAACACGTAGCCCATTTTCTGATTGTGAACACGCAGCACACACTTGTTGAAAGTTGAACACGCAGCCCAAACTTTTGAATTTCTGAACACGCAGCCCATTTTTTGATTGTGAACACGCAGCACACACTTGTTAAAAGTTGAACACGCAGCCCAAACTTTTGAATTTCTGAACACGCAGCCCATTTTTTGATAGTGAATACGCAGCACACACTTATTGAAAGTTGAACACGTAGCCCAAACTTTTGAATTTCTGAACACGCAGCCCATTTTTTGATTGTGAACACGCAGAACACACTTGTTGAAAGTTGAACACGCAGCCCATTTTCTGATTGTGAACACGCAGCACACACTTGTTGAAAGTTGAACACGCAGCCCAAACTTTTGAATTTCTGAACACGCGGCCCATTTTCTGATTGTGAACACGCAACACACACTTGTTGAAAGTTGAACACGCAGCATACACTTGTTGAAAGTTGAACACGCAGCCCAAACATTTTGAATTTCTGAACACGCAGCCCAATTTCTGATAGTGAACACGTAGCATACACTTGTTGAAAGTTGAACACGCAGCCCAAACTTTTGAATTTTTGAACACGCAGCCCATTTTTTTATTTACACGCAGCTTATACTGAACACACAGTTCATACACTTCACTTCTGAACACATAACTCATTCATTTCATTTGCACGCAGCTTATACTGAACACACAGTTCATACACTTCACTTCTGAACACACAGCTCATTCATTTCATTTGCACGCAGCTTATATATTTCATTCTGAAACTGAATACATCTGTTCATTTTGAATACAGGTATCTTCCCGTTCGACGCGAGGTTGTGGCTCGATCGTTGCTAGGGACTGGTACGCGGAGCTCCCAGATACCGTTCGCCATCTCATGGACGAGGCGGGGTTTGGACCTTTCTGCGCGGGGCTATCACGTTACCCTGCGAGCAGGACCTTGATGGGGGCACTTGTGGAGAGATGGTGGGACACCACCAACTCTTTTCACTTCTCAGCTACCGGGGATATGACGATGACCCCGTTCGACTTTGTGATGCTGACTAGCCTTGATGTGGCCGGCCGACCGGTCCTCTATGACGAGGATATGGGCGAGTGGAAGGCTGCCTGGATCTATCTGTTGGGAGCTCACCCACCGATTGACCGATCTTCGGGCAGAGTCAGATACACTTGGTTCCCCGTGCAGTATAGGGGGAGTACGCCTGAGACTTTTGAGGAGATAGAGCAGTACGCTCGAGGTTTCTTGATGTTCCTTCGTGGGACCACTTTGTTCTTCGACAGGGGGAACATTGTTAGACTGTATCTGCTCAGTGCTTTGGTGGACCTGTCACAGGTCAGCCAGTATGACTGGGGTGGCGAAGGCTTTGCTACCCTCTACTAATATATGAGTGCAACCTCCCGCGGATGGGGGAACATAGTTGGCTGCTACTGGAGAGCTTGGGAGGTACCTTCTGCCCTCTTGATTTACATTTCTGCTTTTCATCATCTATATACACGGCACACTTTACATTCTGTATTCCACATTTTGCACTCAGCACTCTGTATTTTCTGTATATTCTGTATTCTGATGGCCACTGCCCTGTTTTCCATAACTATGGGTTTACGCATACTTTCCGACGCTAGCCCCGGAGCTTGAGGTGGCGGTGCCTCTTGTGATCTCTTATTCTCACGTATTTGAGGGCCGATGCCGGCCGAGGGTTCGGGAGACTCTGCCTTACCTGCGGCAGTTTTTTGACACAGTGCGGGCGACCGAGGTAATTCAGAACTCTCAGTTCTTCATGTTTTTAGCTTTGATTCATCTTACATATTTACGATATCTAATCAGCTCATGCACTGGTTATCCGCAGATCACTTGGCAGCCCTGGGCGCCCTTGGGAGGAGACATCCGTTTTCGATTCCTTGGGGGATGGTCCGCTTCTCGATATAGGACCTTATTTGAGGGGCCAGTTGGCAGGGCCTGGTTTCTAGGAGATCGTTTTTTATGTCAGACGCTGGGCCACCCTGATCAGGATATCCCTTTAGCACCTCTAGAGGACATGCGGTCCACTGAGGATCTCACTCCCCAAGGGGTCGAGGTCGCTATATTGGGTAATGATGTTATGTTGTTCCTGGAGGAGGGGGAGTACGCGACCTACCGCCATACGTACTTGATGCCTCCACTGACGGGTGTCTGTACTCCCACGAGGAGGGCTGCTGGTACATCACTGTCGAGTCGAGTTTGGGCTGCAGATATGCCTTCGACTAGTAGGGCCGGTACATCAAGGAGTGGGGCTAAACAGATTCCCCCGATTCCCCCGACTTACCAGCATGCTGGGTGGCCAGATCTTCCGACCGAGCTGGCAGGTTGGCGGTACAGGACATCCTATCCGATTCCATTGGAGCCTCCATTGCCCGATCACCGATACGTCAGAGACCCTGACTCACCATCGTATACTTTACAGTTTTGATTTATCACTCAGATATTTGGACATTCATTCACTGATGACTTGCACTTGCATCTGTAGCCTCCCAGCGAGTATTGTGACGGGTTGCTCGGGTTGGTGGCCTCACTCGAGGGTATGGTCTTGCGGAGAGAGACACAACTATTCATTGCCGGTGTTACGGTATTTCTCAATTTTCTCGCATTTATCATACTTCTGATGACATGCTGAATTTGACCATTTCACTGCATTGGTTGAATGTATGTGTAGAGCACATCTGACACACACCACATTCATATACTGTATCTGCATACACCCACTTTACGTAGCTTTATTATCTCTACATTATACATATTGGCTAATGTATTCAAATTGCCCTCTTTTCAGATGCCACCGCTACAGGCTGGGCTATCCAGGCCCTCTCGAGGAGCTGGGAGAGGGGACTCGTCTCGCAGATAAGGCAGGCGCAGAGCACCCGTCATAGATGACGAGGAGTCCAGTGAGGAGGAGGAGTCTGCGCATCCTCAGTCAGAGACATCTGTAGGTAAAGAGGATGACTCTGGATTCGGTTCCAAGGGCGGAGGTGATTCCGAGGAGCGTTCCAGGGATGATGGCTCCGATTCAGATGGAGACGCCGACGATGATGGTGCAGAGGTGGCTCAGCCGAAGAGGACGAAGAAGGCCTCTGAGTCTTGCGCTTGATAGTATCAATACGGATGTTCCCACTTTATTTTCTTGCTTTATTTTCCTTTTTACTAGTAGTTGCAGCACATTAGCTTAGGCAGCAGTTTCATTTTCTTTAAAACTTGTACCTTGCTGTAAGATGTTGTAAAAAGAAGATATGATGGAATGAAACGGCCTTTTGTTCAAAAAGTGTTGCATTTTATGTTCTTAGCATCGCATCGCATCATTTTGCACAAAAATGAGATTGAATGGAAATTGAGCATTGTATATCACCAAGCCAGGTAGTGAACCGACGCAACAAACTAAACAACTTAACTTACTAAGAAATAACAAAACCTCAGTAAGTTTACAACTCGATAAGCAAATCCCGAGAATGTTGATTAAACAAAGAGTAACAACTCAATACACGAAACTCAATAAGCAACGACTCAATAAATAAAACTTTAACAACTCAATAAGCAAAACCAAACAACAACTCGATAAACAAAGAACAACAACTCGATAAGCAAATGCATCTCGGACAATTGGAGTGACGGAACGCATCCGAAACAGAGGTAAACTCGGACCTTCAACACTCCCAATGCATGAAAATGCTAGGAGCTCTCTTCTAGAAGCTAGGACAAGACCAAAACTCTGTTTCTCTTCATGGCCGACTAGCTTTTTGCCTTGGAGACCAAAGGGGTGGTCAGCCTACCAAAAAAAGTGGTCGGCCGACCACCTGGTTTGGCGACCACCAGATTTTTGACACGTGTCCCCAAACAGTGCCTTATCCTCTGTAAAAGTTCCATCTTCGTGGTTCTTTTATTTCATCTCAGTTTTGTATCAAAATGGAGGCATTCCTTATCGAAAATCTCGCAGCTTGGATTGCTACTTTAGATGGCTCGAAAAAGTTGAACTTCTGGGGCTTCGGGTTGAATGCACTATTCACGTTGAGCCGCGCTTCGCTACATCTTCCCTTTCTCCATGCCGCGGCGAGGTTTTCGAATCCGATAACACATGTCTTTAGCTTTGGCGGGCAAGAGGTGTGTCCGACCTTCGAAGATTTCCAAGCTTTGATGGAGTCTGAGCGCAACGACAAAATCTTGCCCCAGCTCTGCTTCGGCCACGCCCAAGCCTTAGGACGAATGTGTGGGCTCACTATGCACGACGCTCGGTCTCTGATCTGCAACGGAGAATTGGACATCCTCAGCTTGATTTAACGTTTTTCTAATCCCGGTGACCGTGGTGACCATCATTGGCAGGGCTTTCGGCGACATGCCCTTTGCATGTGCATGTTGTCATATTTCTTACTTGCCTCAGGTTTCGGAGGATCTAGTGTCCGCTTGATCGAGGTTGCCCAAGGCTTAAGAGAGGGCAAGAGCTGCGTTGTCATGACACTGGCTGAGACACTGATGGGCTTGGATGCTTTCCATTGTCGGGAAACAACCAGATTTGCGGGGAGTCCACTACTGCTGCAGGTAATGTTTCCTTCCCTATCTCACATATATATTGCTCACATCACTCGGCCCTCAGGCTCGATTTTTCTCACAAAACCCTTTTCTCACTTTTCTCTCAACGTACACCTCTTTATTCTTTAATCTCTCATTTTTCAATCCCTCCCCAGGTGTGGTTGATGGACAAATTGCAGGTCGTGGGCTCTTGCCCAGCATACTCAGCTCGCGGCTACTTCTTCTGACGACGCCTAGTCGATGCCCTTGATGAGGGATGGTGGTTCGACTAGATGTGCCATTTGTCTGCAGACCGCATTGCTTGGCGTTGTCCTTGGCTCAATCTACCGGCAATGAGCTACAGCATGTCCTGGTAGACTAGGATTCAGTTGATTGGTCTGACGCACTGCGTGTTTTATTTTCCTTTCCGGTTCCAGAGCCAGTTCGACCATGATCAGACTTGCCCGCCAGAGGGGATGGAGTACCCTGTTGCATTCCCGGTCCGAGGCGCACAGCTTGCTCAGTATGCCACAGCATGGAGGATGAGAGAACTCCTGGCCCCGCTCCCACTTTCAGTTACACTTTGTCTGATGAGTGCATAGATTGGCTCAATGAAGAGGCGCAGATTGGGCCCACTTTGGCGTCAGAAGCTTCGACCAGCTCTGGGAGGGGGCGCAGGAACACCTAACTTAGCTATGCCCCGGATTTATTGCTTTATTAGTACTTTTAAGTTTTCTTTATGAATATAATCAAAAGCAACTTCAATTTGTATGCAAGAGCAGGAGAACTCTGTATTGAAATCAATAAAATTGAAGGTTGTGGGTACTGAAAATTTTCCGCTTTGGTCCAAAAATGGTCTAAGTTGTAAAAAGATTAATTTGGGCAAAATCAACTTTTATTAAAACTTTTCAAAACCATTTTCGATATGGATCAGAACTGGAAACGCTTGAAATCTGTCACTGAGATGCACAATCCCGGATCCCAACAACTGGAAAGTTGCCCCTAGTCTGAATAGCGCTGTACCGAAGATCACAACCAAGCTCTTGAATGTTAAATAGACAAAGATGACCGAGATGATCAAATGGACAAAGTTGATCGGGGAAAAGTTTATGGCTGAACTTCAGGATGAAGTTGCCTACGTATCCCAAAGATGGAAATCAAGCCTTACGTAGTTCAGGCCCGGGTTCACTCGAGTATTTTCACTCTCCTTTTACGCTCTAGCTTTTGCCAAGGCCGCCCTTTGCGGGTTTTCAACCTCGCGAGCTCAGTTTTTTTAATTTCAAATTTTTCATGCTCTAACTTTTGCCTAGGCCGCCCTTTCGGGTTTTCGGCCTAGCGAGCCTCTCTGGGGTAATATTTCTTCAACTTGTCCATATTGATCGGCTGTGAGAACTCTAGGCCATCTAGGTCCATCAGAACGACAGCTCCACTTGACCTGATAGACTTGATGATGTAAGGACCAGTCCAATTACGTCTGAACTTGCCCCTAGGGTCGTAGATGGGAGCTCGATTGTCTTTGAGCACCAAATCTCCTTCTTCCAAATTCCTAGACTTAACTTTCTTGTTGAAAGCCCTGGCAATTTTGCGTTGATAACCCTGAACATGGTGCAGTGCTTTCAGTCTTCTTTCATCAAAGAGCATGAGTTCTTCAAATCTGCTCTGCTGCCAATCTGCTTCGGCTATTTGACACTCAGCCAATACTCGTAATGACGGAACCTCAATTTCGATAAGTAGAACGGCTTCCATCCCATAAACTAATGAATATGGAGTCGCCCTAGTAGAAGTTCTAATTGACGTCCGGTAGCCCCACAGAGCAAATGACAGCTTATCTGGCCATTCCCGGTAGGTTTCCACCATCTTCTACAAAATGTGTTTGACGTTCTTGTTGGTGGCCTCAACTGCTCTGTTGGTCTGCGGTCGATAGGTGGATGACTTATGAAAAGCCAACAAATCAATCACTTCCTTCTTGAAGTGGGAACCGTTATCTGAAATAATCTTGTTTGGGACCCCGTAGCGACAGATGATGTTGTTCCGAATGAACTTTACAACGTGCGAAGCCTTCAACACCGCATAAGATTGGGCCTCGACCCACTTCGTGAAATAATCTATCGCGACCAGAATGAACTCATGCCCATTAGACCCCTTCGGAGTGACGACCCCAATCACATTGATTCCCCAAACTGAAAATGGCCATGGCGAAGTCATATTGTACAGCTTTGACGGCGGGATGTTCATGCGGTTTGCATGGATCTGACATTTGTGGCATCGCCGAACAAAGCCGATACAATCCGCCTCCATGGTGGACCAGTAGTAACCCTGTCGGAGGATCTTCTGAGCTAACATTACCTTGTTCATATGCGCTCCGCACTCTCCTCCATGGATGGCCTCCATCAAGCGCTTCGATTCTTCGGCATCAACGCACAACTTATGCATTTCCAGATGACCTCTCTTGTATAATTTACCCCCGCAAATGATGAACTGAACGGCCATTCTCCTGATTGCCTTTTTATCCTTGGCATTTGCCCCTGGTGGATACGCCTCTTTTTCCAAGAAGTTCCAGACATCGTAGTACCAGGGGTTCTCATCTTGAACCTCATCTATAGCGGCAATCGACTCGTAGGTTGCCGCAAATTTCTGGTCAATGATGATTGGACGTATCCGGACTCCGAAAGGGATGTCTATCATGGAAGATAGAGTTGCTAGTGAATCTGCGAACCTGTTGTTCTCTCTTAACAGATGAGCAAAGTTTAGTTTCTCAAACCGGGGAATTAACAAGTCCAAGGTCTGGTGATACATTATCATCTTTTCTTTTTTAACTTTCCAATCTCCTTTCGCTTGAGATACAACAAGGTTCGAGTCCCCAATGACATCCAACCATTTTGCCCCTAGTTCTAGGGCTGCTTCTAAACTAGCAATGCATGCTTCATATTCTGCTTCGTTGTTCGAGACTTTGAATCGGAGTTTGAAGGCTAGAGGGATACGGGAATTGTCGGGTGCTATTAGCAACACTCCTACCCCATACCCGTATTGGTTTGACGCTCCGTCAAAGTACATCGTCTAAGTTTCGTCTTCGATATGCAAAATGGCCTCATCTGGGAATAAGTACTCAACTGCTTCACCTCCTTCCACTGGATGATCGGCTAAGAACTGCGCTACCATTCTTCCCTTGACTGACTTGAGCGTCACATATTTCAGATCGAATTCAGAAAGCAAAAGCAACCAACGAGCTAGCCTACTCGTAAGTGCCGGTTTCTCGAAGAGATATTTGATGGGATCTAATCTTGAAACCAACATTACAGAGTGAGCTAACAGGTAGTGCCGCAGCTTCATGGTAGCCCATACCAAGGCTAAGCAGGCCTTTTCCAACGGTGTGTAGCGGGTTTCATACTCCAGCATCTTCTTGCTCAGATAGTAGATAGCCCTCTCCACCTTGTCCTCAGACTCTTGTGCGAGCATGCAGCCCATTGTAGTCTTAGTTACTGAAAAATACAAAATCAACGGTTTCCGCGGCTCAGGCGGTGACAACACGGGTGTGTTCTGTAAGTATTCCTTGATCTGTTCAAAAGCAACTTGGCATCGACCGTCCCATTAGAACTTCTTTCCTTTCTTCAAGAGACCAAAAAGTGGTTCACAAGTCAAGGCTAATTTTGAGATAAACCGTCTTATGAATTGCACTTTATCCAGAAAGCCTCGCACCTCCTTTTCAGTCCTTGGTGGTGGCATTTCTAAGATGGCCTTGATTT